GCATTCCTGAGCTTGGTACAGAGGCAGTGTCAACACACGCATGGTTTCGACAGCGCAGAAATTAAGCTGGTGTGTTGGAAATAGTTCCGTTCACAGAAAGGCCTGAGGAGCATGGCAGACCAGAACATAAACCTCGTGGCATATAGCATGAGGAGATCCATCAACAGAGCATCAAGCAACAAAAGGAAGGCCAAAAAGTGTCTTTATCCCAGCCTGTTCACACCCAAATGGGAAACAAAACTCTGGTAAGGGGCTCGTTGCTTCAGCAGACAAGCGCAGAAGGTGAGCCAGTGGCTCAATGTGGAAACTGGACATATTCAAGCTAGACAAAAGGGAACAATTTTAGTGGGGACAGGGATTAAGTACTGCAGCACTTCAACAAGGGCTAGGGAGTGGGATCTCCATGAATTTTTTTAGATAAAGATCCACTGTTTTGCTACAAAGCATGATCTACACCAAACAGGAGTTACTGCAAGGCAGGGCAGTGGCCCGGGTTATCCAGGCCAGATCGCAATGGTTACTTCGGGACGTATACTCTTTGAGCATATCTCCAAGACAGCTGAAAAAGTAATGCCAAGAGCCAGCTGCACCAGAGATCTCAGTTAAAAGGGACTTTTAACATATGATTTTTGTAGAACCCATAGGATGCAAATGCTATTATAATCTATGACTACTTCCTGGGACTTGGAAGAGGAATGGATTAATGAACTGCCAGCTCACCCCTCTGGCCAGACTTGCACCCAAGTATCTCATTGCTCTTTGGACCCCTTGGACAGAAATCGGAAATGCTGTGATGCTGGCCCCATGTACTGCTCCTTTCTCTTACCTCCAATCCCATACAAACTCCTTTCCCTTCTGGCCCTCAGTTCATTTCTAGCTAGATCCCAAGGCAGCTGCTGTAAAGAAGCATCTGACTCTGGAGAGGACTCTTGATTTCGAAGAGTCAGGGGCATCTCCCTAATAATCTAGTCCCACCCTGTACTCACCAGCCCCAGCCTCATGGGGCAGAAGAGCTGTGGGGAGCAGGAACAGGAGCAACATCAGCATCATTAGAGTCCAGGAGACTGACAGCATTTCTGCCTCAGCCCAGGGGTTTTATAACTCAGGAAACCTCAGAGTCATGTCCACATGCCCTGACGGGGGAGCCAATGTCCTGCAGTGACCTATAGGAAACCATATGTGAGGTGTGGTGGGGGCACAGAAGGAGGGGGCATGTGCCCCTTGATATTCCTGCACTGATGGCTGAGCAGGAGGCTGCAGAAAATGGGAAGCACATTGTCTATGCAAGAAACTCTGTCCCCAGAACAGGGAGAGCAGGAAAAGTTGCTTCTGAGATAAGGCATCTCTCCTCACCTGGGACTACAGAACATTTGGAACAAAGGGCCATCTTGAACCTTCCTGGAATCATATGCATGTCAATGATATGGACACCTGGAGCCTACATATCTGGAGCCTGCACACCTGGAGCCTGCATACGTGGAGCCTGCATATCTGGAATCCTTTCTGCTCTGTCAGCACATCTGGTTAAATGCAACTAGTACCAATTCAGTTGCTCTTTCCGTTTTGCTCTCTTCTTCTTAGTGTGTGTGTGTGTGTGTGTGCATGAGTGCGCACATTCCCTGACCCCTAAGCATTTTTGCTGCCCTCTGCTAGACTGTCTCCAATCTGTCCACATCCTTTCTGTAGTGGGGGGCAAAAACTGGACACTGGACTCCAGATGTGGCCTCACCAGTGCTGCATAGAGGGGGAAAATCTGTTGGCAGTGCTTCTCTAATACGGTGCAGCAGTCCATTAGTTTTCTACACAACAAGGGCCTACAGGTGGCTCTTACTCAGTTTATTATCCACTGTCCCCCCAGGGTTTTTTTTTCTGCAGTGGTCCTTTTTGGAAAAGTTAAACAACAAAAAAGAAGCAATAGCTGAGCAGGAAGGAGCTGGCATTGCAGCTGCTGTTGTCAAAGTCCAGTCCATTTTCTCTGAGGCAAAACTAGATAAACACCTGGAAAAGTGGAGAAGAAGGAACAACAAGGGAGAAAGGAAAGTCTGTATCTCTCCTACTAGTACTGGGAGCACATAGTGTGATATGCTGCTGTGACACCAGGCAATGTTGAAACAATCCCTCAGCTGTTTCAGGTATTGCTTTCATCAGCCTCTGCTCAGTAGTGTGTCCTCAGCAGCGTGGAAAGTGGTGGAGTACCTCCATGGAGAAGACTAATGTCTAGGTCTGATGCTGTCTAATGTAGGGGGGTACTCGAGGTGGGAGGTTACCTCGTCTCCCCCTGGTGGCACATAGACCACTGATGGAGATGGTCTGTCCTGGTGAAAAACTTAGAAAGGCTTGGTTTAGCTTTCAAAACTGAAGGCAGGATACTGATTTCTACATCTCTTTGGAGAAATAGGTCCAACATCTAGGACTGTCTTGCAAAGGTCAGGGCGGGCCATCCAGCTTCAGCTAAACGCCTGGGCCTGAGCAGGAGTTCTCCTTATGGCTGGAGGGGGGTCTCCGTCCCTGAGGTACTGGTGTTTCCGGCACAGGTTGTGCTCTCTAGCCAGAAATATCTCCCCCATCTCTGCTTCAGGCTGAGAGAGACTTTCCATGAGGCCAATTTGTTCTGACAAAGATGCTCAGCTTCAAACAACTGGCACTGTTCTGTCTATCCAACTTTCCAAGTACCCATTCCCAAGCACCCACACTCATTTAGGAAAACTGAAATGAAGAGGTTCAGAGCAAAAATTCTCCACTCTGTTATACAAGAGGGTGGACAAGGCACCTGAATGACTTAGCCTTGCCCCTGAAATTGCACGGGTCTGTGGGATCCCCTCCTGCCAGGGCTGCAGGGATAAACGGTTGTGCTGCTCCGGTGAGCTTGGTGAGACATGTCCCTCAAAAGACCCGCAGCTCTGAGGGCAGGTGAGGGAGTGTGGATGGGCAGCAGGAGAAGGGACCTGTGGGTGACAGCTGTTATCTCTCAGTCCCGCTCTTTCTCTCCTAGCACTTTGCCTGTTTCGTGTCTCTGGTGAAATGCCTTATGCAACCAAAGTGGGTGTCTAACGGCTATCCGGTCCTGTTTCACTACCCTGAGGAAGAAGGCAGCAATAGATAAGGACAAAGTGATGGCCACATCAGCTTAAACTAACTGTCCATGTAGCCCCTGCCTTGATCAGCCCCTTGTCCCAGAAGCCTAGTCTCTCTGTCCCAGACCTTCTATTCATTCTCCTGCTTTTCATCTGACTGGGACCCTGCTCTCCACATGTCCCATAGACCCATCCTGTCTTTCATAGCCTTGCCTCAGAGTGAGGTGTGATTCCAGGTTGCTTCCAAAAGTTAATAAAGAGACCCAGAGATATAACCTATGGCCCAAGCCATGTAGTTTGGGGGGGATTGATATGCTATAGATCCTTCATTTAGCCCTAGGGTGTGTTATGTCAAAGATAAAATATCCTGTTATTGTAGTGAGACATCACCTTCACTTCCTTGGTGTCGTGGAAACACACGCAGCATACTTTTGGGTCAGGTCAGCAGAAGCTTTTATTCAAATGAATCTACAGCTGTAGGGGGGACTCCAAAGTGACATGGTATATCTTTATGGAAATGCTGATATATCTTTATGGAAGATATATAATAACAGAAAGTTTGAATCTTAAGTGGCATTACTCCATTTTTCTGTCCAGTCCTATGAAGATATGACTTCTGGGGAATCCAAGTGAATGAATGGGCTCAGCACTGGGGAATCAGGGGACCAAAAGGCCTGAATTGATTCAGAGCTCTCTGAATCTTTGGAAAAGATTTGGAGAGCTTGGATGATTTGGGCAGTCCCCAGGGGCTGCAGCCACTGAGCTGGTAAGTACTAGGCGTGGGGGCTGGGGGAGGGGGGAGGGGACCATGGGGGGCCCCCCAGCCACCCTTGCTCCCCCCCCACACATGTGCCACGCCCAGGCCAGCTCCAGCCCTTTAAGGGAAAAAACAAACAAACGGAGAATAACCCTGGGACTCACCGCTGCTGCAGTGGCCTTCGGGCTTTGGGGGCTCATGCAGAGCCCCCCACGTGATGCGGGGCAGTGGGGGGCAGTGGGTATCACTCCGTGCTGGCAGGACCGGTGAACCCAGGGGTTTTTCATTTTTTTTTTTGGTGAGTCAGGGCTTTTTTTTTTAACAAGTGCTGGGAGCTGGGAGAGGGGTTAGGGATGAGCCTGGCTGATTCAGAGATTCACCCGAATCAAATGGGGACAGTGATTCGAATCACCCAATCAAATCACTGTCCCCCAAATCAGCTGAATCCAAAGAGAATATTAGCCACTTCGCACAGGCCTACTACACACCTCCCTAGGCTGGTGCGCTCTGTGAATTGCACTGTCTAAAGAGCTGAGGTCAGGTTTGGATTATCAGGCACAATCTGGCTAATTTTATCCAAAAGCACGTCCAAAAGCACTCTCTCCAGTTTACTCTCCTAAAGAAGCCTAGTCAGGGCCCTGCCCAAACCAAACCAAACCTTGGTTTTCAATTGGCAACGACCATGCAAAATCCATTTTAGTTCACTGCAAACCACACATGTCTGCACTGGGAGACTCTCCTGAAGATGCCTGGGCAGGCCCCTGTCTAACCTGAAGCTTGGTTTTCAAATGCCATTCTGCCAGCTGACACCACCCTAGGTTTGAGTCCTATGTACATCGCCTTGAATAAGGAGCTGTGGTTAGGGTGGGATTTTGGGGCAAATCTACCTTAGATCATATCAAATTACATGTCTCTGTCACCACATCACCTTTCAGCTCTCCTGTGAAATATGAATTTTCATTTCCATATTGGAGAAATTAGGGACAGATGGCCCTAGACAGGTGGGTGGGCCAATATTGTGACCAGCCCCAGGGATGGCCCATGGTTGCACACATTATTCATTTTCTATTTGAAAAATATCAGACATTAAAAACTAAGATTAAACCACTTCAAAGAAGAGATGAAGTGCTGCAACCGGATCTCAAAGTGAGTGAGGCATTTAGCAGCAAGACCTGGGATAAAGGGAAAAGGCAGTAGCTGGCACAGTTTAAAAAAATTACAGGCAGGAGCAAATGAAATTCAGTGGAAATGAGTAAAATACAGTGACATATCTCCTCTTCTACCTCTACAGCAAGGCTGTCAAATTCATCTGGCCCTGTAGGAAGTTGGATCTTCATTAGCAGAGTGTATGCTCCATGCTACTGACCCCAAGAACCCCAGATCTGGTTATGGTACACCAGCAATTTAGGTGCCAGAAAGGGTTTGTGGGCCCTAGCACATCCTACAGGTATGGTGGGATTCACATGTAAGTAGCAAAGGTGCTACCCCTGCACACAGTTTCAGATCCTTCCTTCTGCATGTTCTTCTGACAAGGTATGTAGCAGAAGTCACAGATGTGTTGGAATCTGACAGGGCTGTGCTTTGAACGCTTCTGCTATAGCCTGAATTTGCTACCCCTGCACCCAAGTTCACACTGGTAGAGCAGCTGTTAAATAGCTAGGGGAAATCTAATAAGTGTGGAACAGCACGTACATACTTAGGACTGATATGCCCTATAGCAGTGAAGCCATAAAGAATGGCAATTAGAAACAGGGTGGGAGTACTCAGGTAAAACACAGAGAAGCCTAATGTAAACATATACATTTCCTGATTCAAAGGTCACACACAAGAAGCCATCCCCATAACACTAATAATTATAAGGACTTTTATACTAATGCCAGAAGCTTAACATCCAAGATGGGAGAACTTGGATGCGTAGCACATAATAATCATTTTGAGATAATAAGTAGCTTAGAAACCTGGTGCAAAGAGGAAAATCAATGAGATGGATAAAAATTATACAGGAATGATAGAATAGCTCACAATGTTGAAGAGTATGGCTCTCTACATCAAAATCTGCATCAAATCAAATAGGATAAAGTGTTTTAACTGATAAGATAGGTACTGATAAGATAGGTACTGT